GCAGATGGGTTAGCACCAGTCATCAGCCTATTTCCAGGGCCCCAGGGGGTGACGTCGCCCCTGCAGCCAGCGGGAGGAAGGGGGCAGGGGAAGCCCCGGGGGGAGGAGAGGGGGCGTTACAGATGGCCTGAACCAGCCATAACGCCCGTGCTCAGCCATTTTCCAGCACCCCCGGGCACCTGGAGCAGCGGTGGATCGAGGGGCAGCGCAGCGGAGGCAGGGGCACGGAGGGCTGGGCTCTTCTCTGCTGGCGTGTTTCAGAGCAGCCCTGGGCCTGGCTCCTGCATGCCGGGCTGCCAGCTCTCCCGCCCGCATGGGACGCCATTTGCAACATGGCAGCTGGGCCGGCGGCGCTGGAGAACTGGCAGCCCTGCCTACGCGTTGGCTGGGGCTGCCGGCTGCTTCCACAGCATCAGCGCTTGTGCCTGCCGCTCCCGGGGCCCAGCTCGCCTTCCTAGGACTGCCGCGCCCCATGCCGCCCTGCTGCGAGCCTCATGCTGCTCTGGCCAAGCTCCTGTTCCGCAGCTGAGCTCCCTGCTGTCCCACCCCCTGTAGCTCTGCTGGCCTCTGGCTGCAGGAAGGGAGGAGCTCCGACCCCCTTTCCACAGCCCTGAGGGACGAACCGAGACCGTGGCCCCAGGCTCGGGTGCTGTGGGACCAGCAGGGGACCCACTGAACGATTTGCCGGAAACAGAAGGGCACCATGGGAGCAGGTTTTAGCCTGGGGTGCGCAGGCCCTAGGGCACTGCTGACTAAGTCCAGGCCTTCCCCCGGAGCCCGCCCCTCGCCGGAAGTCTTAGGGAGCCCCCCGCTGCCAAAGGGTGGCAGGCCACGGCTGTAGCGTATGTTTCAAGGAAATGCCCCCCAGGGGGCGCAGCAGGAGCCACGCGGCCGTGATGGCTGGTGACCCAGCCGGGGGAGCCGCGTCCAGCAGGGAAGCAACCTGATGTGGAAGTGGAGGATGAAATGCACCTGTAGGCTGGGGAGTCCTTCCCACTTCCCTGCAGGCCAAGGGCCCCGCTGCTGGCTCCGGGCACTCAGACCGTTGGCATCTTGCACCTTCCTGCTGCGCGTTTCAAAGGCCTGGCCCCTCTCATCCGCCCTCCAGCCCAAACCCTGCGTCCAGGCCTTTGCCGCCTCGCCTCCTGCAGCCGTCTCCTTGTGGCTTCCCCGAGGGCAAAACCCTTCCCCACTGCACCCACCTGCCCTGCTCCTTGCCTTGGCCTTTCTGCAGCACCAAATGGAACACGCGTCCAGCCTGGCGTCTGACGTCACCCAGCCCCTGCCAACCTCCCTGGCCCATTCTACCCACGCCAAGCACGCCCGCTGCTCTTCCTGCCCGGCAGCCTCCTGTTGCTACCTGACACTTCTGCATTGTCCTCTTTAAAATCACCCTGGCCCAATGCAACCCACACACCTGGCAGCGGCACCGCAAGGACTCACAGCAAGAGCTAAGGACAAGGGAGCTCTACAGCCCAAGCTAAGAGCCAGCTGGCGTTATAGGGCAAGCTGTAGCGGATCCGCTACCCTAAGCTCTAGGGGTCCCAGGTTCACGTCTGCCTGATAGTGGTTACATCAGCACCAGGCCATGGCATGGGGGGGATGGCTGTTTGTAGAGCTGAGCACTGCTACCTGCCAGCAGGTCAATTCCTACAGTCCAGCACAATAGGATCCTGCTGCTGGGCTAGGACTCAGGGTGCTAAGCTGCATCGCACAGCTTAGGACCTGGCCCTTTGCCTGCGCCAGGAAGGAATGACACAGCGCACAGGCAAGAGGGGAGAAAGCCGCTGGGTGGTGAGAGGAGAGCAAAGTGGAACTGTGATGGCCGGTTGTGCCAACTGGCCATGAGCACAGAGCACCTGGCAGCCGGGAAAGCCTTTGCAACGGCCACGGCCAGGAGGACTCAGTGTGGCGAGCAGGTGGCCACGCTGTTTGATTCAGAGCACAGGCCCTTCCATGGGCAGCCCCTCCCCCCTGTAAGCCAGCCAGAGGGGGCTGCCAGGGCTCTGAGGATGTCCAGTGGCCTGCAAGCCAATCCACCCGCTGTAGAGGCAGGTGCTCTGTGCACACAGCCATAGCCCCGCCCCGGTGCTGCACGGCCCTGGGACCTGCGAGCAGCAAGCATACGCAGGCAACCACACAAGGCAGAGGCGCTTGTGGAAGGAGGCCCCTTGCTCTGTAGCTGGGGGGGAGGAGGGCTGTGTGGCTGGGAGTTGCCAGAGCTGCAGGCAGCTGCTT